AATCTGACATCTAAGGTGGGTTTTCATTGGTCTCTCCCCATCACAATATAGTTTGCTGAACTTTTAAACAATTCCAGTGTAATCAAAGGTGGTCTCATACGTCTAGCCATTCATTTTGCTTTTGATAGTATTATAAAACAACTGAATTACATCTTGTATGGACATTCATATAACTGAGCCCTAATCATATTCATATCGGTTTGCATGTGTCTGTCTGTGTATGCAGGGCTGAAAAACAACTGCTCCATATAGTATAATTTACATGGAAAAATAATGGTTGGTCCGTAATCTTTCAGCAAGCACTGTACCTATCGCTGCTGATTGCCCCACAATTTTTTTTTTCTCCCTGTTGCATATCAAATTGTGGTTCTGAAAGTTCTCCCTCCCAGAGTATTTTTTCCTGTTGAAGAAAGTAAAATATATAATTTATAACTGTGAGTACCTTGCAGTTAATATGAAATTGCATATTTGCATTTTTTGAACTCCTGTTATATACATTTTTTTTATCTGAGCCGAAGACCTTAACTTTTCTGTGAAATCAAAAACTGTTTCAGTGGAATAGATATGAAGTAGAAAAAAATGGCTAGGTTTTCTTTCTGGGAAAATCAAGTGACCAAGCTAGTCCAGATGGTTGCTAAGGTAGGTCCTATTTGTTGCAGAGAGAAGAATGTTCAACTGGCATGTGGCAATGAGGTCAGATGTAACACATCTAGTGACTCTCAGATGTGCAGATAAGTTAAGGGGGGAAGAAAGTCGCTCACTGAGTTTAATAACAATCACTAATTTGATTTTCCACAGATAACTACTGCATTTTGATAATGTGGTAGTGCTTACACTGGAACTGACTCCAACAGTAGCTTCTGCAGGTTCCCTAAGGCAATAATACTTAGTGATAATCTTGGCAAGTGTAATGGTATATGGAAATGACCTTGGGGGACAAGAGGAAGATACCCACAGGCTGGGCAATGGTCTGATAAGAGGCAGAAAAGCATGGGAAGCGTTTGAGAAGGGACCCTCCCTGTTTTCCAGAGAATAAAAGGAAAGGAGGGAAGAAAATACTTTCAGTCTTGCAAGATTCTGTTAATGTAACCTTACAGTGAAGATAATGCTGATACTCCTGGGTGTTGTTCTTGTCTGGACTACCTCAGATGGCTGACAGCAGGGAGCCTGTTGTCCTCCACAATTTGCACAATGGAAGTCCTAATATTCTTCCTCATTATTATTATGCAGGCTGGTGTTGTTGGGGAGTTGTTATCTAGCACCCAGATGAACAGATTGTCCACCGCTGCATGTGGACATTCAATCCTTGTTATTCCACAGGTTGCCCACCCCTGTGACAGGGACATGAAATTCTTGTTATTCCATGCTTACAGTTCAAACAAGAAGAGGTAGTTGCTTTGTAACTTATCTCTGCTAGAAAAGAAATTGTAGGGTTCTTTATGGAATTAGCCACTGACACACTTTTGTGAAACAGGAAAAACAAAACAAAACAAAAAATGCTAGAATTGTTTAAAAGTACTGTGATGAGGAGAGACCAGGAACATTGAAAACCTGCCTTGATATGTTATTATTACTGAGTAATTCAATTTTAGATTCTAAACCTACTTTCTTCTTTTATCAAAAGTTAAAGGAACAGCTCAAAATATCTACAACAAATATACAAGAAGCTTGGGATCAAGAACTGGAAACTCCAGTCCTTCCAAACTGAAGGACTCAAATTTTGAAGAACACTAAGTTTATGTCCTGTAATTTAAAGTTGAAACTAATCCACCAAAGGATTCTTTTTCGTATTTATTGGATACCATCTAGAATGTTTTGTAAGGGATAGACTAATGATTATTTGTGTTGGTGACCCAAGAAATTTGAGGGTACTTTAATTTATATGTTATGGTTATGTTCTTCTCTATACTCTTTTTGGAGCAATGTTATACAATATGTTGACAGAATTATCAAGAAAACTTTGGTTTTTAAGGACATGCATATTGTATTAAATTATATACTGTACATACTACTTGGAACTTAACATATTCTGAACAAAGATGGCTTTTTTGTGCTCTAGAATAGCCCTTAGGGAGATGGTAAATTACTATAACTCCATATATAAAGGATTGGATTTTAGAGATGTGTATTCTAGCAGTTTTTGAGAAAATTATATATTCTGTCAATCAGAAAATGTTACATTACCTTTCCCTCTGGAAAAAATTATTGGACAGGCTTGGTGAATATTGAAAGATTACTTTCCTTTTTGAAGATTTATAAAATCAGGTAAATATATTTGGAATTATAGGCTTTTGATCTTTTTCTATGTTTTTATTTGTTGTGCTGTGTTGTGATGTGTTGTTGTTTTTCCTTTTTCCTCGAGTGGTGAGTTGTTATTTTTCATTCTATGCATATTTGTTTGAAAATGGACTGTCTTGTATAATATAATTAGTTTAATATATATTTTAAATGCAATGCTTTAAAGCTTCCATTTGAAAAATAATTGATGGTGACACTGAACAGGTGATTTATTCCTCAGTCTTCCTCAGAATGTGTAGAGAATCAAAAGAGCGAGAGGAAGTAAGAATGCATCTGTAGTCATAGTTCTTAACTTCCACCTGCTGAGGCTAAAATAAAGACAGGAACCATCAGTATACTGTAGCCTTGTTTCGCCCTTCCAGTTGTTGAATAGCTGTTGCTCCAAAGTGCTGAAAAATATTAACATATCAAGAAGAGTGGACACAAGCCCAAAGCTATCACTCTGAGGTTTTGGAATCTCTTTTTGTAGAAATTAAAAACTGCATTGCCATCTTAGATTATGAAAATCCTTCATCATAGCTTTTTCACTGCCAGCATGACTTCTGAATATGTCCACTCAGAAGCAACAAATCCAGGTGATTTAAACAACCCTTGACAATACTTTTAGAAAAGTGGTCACGTGCAAAAATAATGTGCTAGCTTTGATGGAAGTTAAGAGCTTTGATGGAAATTAAGGACAAAAATAATGTGCTAGAAGTTTTGATGGAAGTTAAGAACCATGTCCACGGAGGCACTCTCACTTCCTCTTGCTCTTTTGAGTCTACGCTCAATCAGAGGGAGAGTGAGGAATAAATACCCTGTTCAGTGTCACCAGCAATGATCAAATTCATCTCAGAATCAGGCTGTAGAGAAAAATTCTGATAGAATCCAAATGAATCGATAAAAACTTCATTAGAAATCAAAGGTTAATTTAAGTGTTTTCATACAAAATGCACACAATACAAGAACAGCACAACAGAAAAAAATCTTGGATGGAGATCTTGAAAGCCTACAAATTGTGCACAATAGCCTCATGAGGATAGGGTTTTACATAATCATATAAGCAAAGAGTTTTCATTCTAAATAAAAATAGGCAAACAGAGGATCTAACGAAAAAGGGGAAAAACTGTATTCACTGGAAAGGAAGGTGACCCAAATTTAAGATCACCTCCTGGAAGAAGAAGAAGAAAGAGAATCCATCTTGGTTACCATATTCTCAGTGAGTATCCTATTTTAAAGGTAAATTATTTAGAGAAAAAAATGAATCTTCCTTTCCGGTAAATACAGTATACTAAATACATGTGTATGAAGTGTATTTCACTTGGGATGAATGCAAAGGGATGAAGTCAAGGGCTTCACGGAAAAAATAAGTTACAAGATGAAATTAGCTGTGATGAAACACCAGAGCAATGGTGGCACAGAGTTTCATCCTTTCTTGTTTCCACTATACATGTGGCAAATATAAGTCATGTCTCTATGATTTGCACCGGAAGGAAAGCTTCCATCTATCCTTTACTTGCAGCCTCCCAAAACTGCTATGCACATTTTTTTTTAAAGTGGGTGCATTCATATAAGTAATCTCATGTTTGGGGGTTGAAACAAATCAGAATTGTGATGGAGAAGATATTTCAGTTTATGACTCTGTTTTTATTCCAATGGATTTTAATCTCCATTATGTGATACTGCCACTTTAAAGCATAAATCAGTTTTGCAATTCTTAGGAAATGCCAAGGTCAATTATTAGAATCAAATAAATTTACAATGTTCAGGGTTTTTTTGAACAAAATACAGTAGATAGTCGCCCATTGGTTTCACTCCATAGACAATTGGTACAGCTACCAGATATAGCAATCCAGGCCACCACCAAATGACAGCAGAGAGAATTTTCTTCATCTCTTTGCTACCAACTAGTGACTGTCCAGATCCTTGCATGCCAGATCTGATAGCTTTACAGTTATTTATGGGATCCAACCAAGTGTTCAAAAAGGCTGAATGATGTACATTATATTATTCTAATACTATTCTCATTTTCTTTTACAGTTAATAGTCCTGTTGCTGCTGCTGTCCTGGTCATTTGATTTGCCAGTGACTGCATATTTCCAAGGGCATTCCTTAGTTCTAGTGTCAATAAAAACAGAGATATTTGCCAACGTCATTTCATCTGGCCTTCATAAATCAATCATTTTGAAACAGTTGTAAAGCTACTGATCAAGTGTGAAAACAATTGGGTCATAAAGTCACCAATACAAATCTTAGAGTCCCTAAACTTGATTTAAAAGTAATTCATGCATAAGCCATCATTTTCTTATATTTTAAAATTTAGTATATATCATGAGCCATTTAAAATTGTATAACTATGGCAATCCTCTAAAATATGATTGTGGAGATGCCCTGAGCAATACAGCAGCTGTACTGAAATGTCAAAAGGGCTTACACAGCTGACACAAGCTGCTCAAAACAGAATATGGCAGCACCTCCATAAATTTTCTTGCTCCAGCCAAGCCCTGCTTAATTTAGATGTACCATATGTTTCAGTCCCCTCTCACTCTTCCCGAAGCATCAGCTAAGACAGAGCTGTGCTATTCTTTCTGTCACACACACACATCTAGGAACACTGAAGATTTTTCACAAGGCTGCCAAAGGAATTACCATCCTTTTTACTACTCTGGGTGGTTGTTTTCTTAAAAGTACTTGTCCTGTGGTTATTTTTATCAATAAAGAACATGTCTCAGCTCAGCCAAAACTCTGACCAAGAGGAAGTCTGTTCGGGAGAGATAGATGAAGATGAAATCTTAGCCAACCTATCTCCTGAAGAACTGAAGGAACTACAGTGTGAAATGGAAGTCATGGCTCCAGACCCCCAAGTGCCAGTTGGAATGATACAGAAGGATCAGACTGAGAAACCCCCAACAGGAAACTTTGATCACAGATCTCTTGTTGACTACCTGTATTGGGAGAAGGCATCCAGACGAATGCATGAGGATGAAAGGAGGCCGGTCACGCTATTACCCTTGGAGGTAAGGAGCAGGAAATGCAAATATTCTGCATATATGCTACTCCATGTTTTATGACGGTGTTTGATGAGCATCTGCTAACATGCTGCTCTTATGTACCCTTTCAATAAACAGGTCTTGCTTTTGAGCAGACATGCATACCTTAAAATAGGCTTTAGAATATTTTTTGCATGTAGTAAATGAAGACATAAAATTGTAATTTATATTATTCCTGCACTAAATAGCAAATTGAACCTGCAGGCCTCTTCCAGCTCTATGATTTTATGGCTTAGATAACTTGATAGATCCCTATGGATAAGATGTACATCTCCAGTCTGGTTGGTCCAGAAAAATCCTGTTTCTAAACAGAACAGTCTAAAATACACGATATTCTACTCCTTACTGTTACCTGTTACAAAATATAAAAAGTTATTACTATCAAATGATTTAGGAATCCCAGTCCAACAAACTTATTATATTAACAATTAACATCCAAAAACCCTTCTTTTTTACTAATTATATTGTGCTTTTCCTTCTGTTTACCCCTCAGAGTTCCTTCTGGGCAGCTGTATAAATTTGTTTAATGAATAAATAATAAGTAGTTATTAGATTAAATAAATTATGCAAACTAAAATATTTCCTGTATGGAGGAGAATATTTTACAAAATTTTTATAAGACAAACTCAGGAAGATCTGGAAAAAAAAATCCATAAGGAAAAGGCCTTCCAATAAAGACCATCTTCTGAATATGTCTGACTTCAGCTCCCATAAATTTCCCAAGTGTGTGGGCTACAACTCCCAGAATTCTCAGCAATGATCATACTAAGTGGGGAATTGAAGTCCACCTATCTGGAAGTTGCCATGGTTTGGAAATATTGACTTAGGTCATACCTTTGCCTGAGATCATAGAGAAAAAAGATGTGTAAGGTGTTGCACTTTCTCAGTCGTTTCAAAGTTGATAGGTGTGGGGTTCATGTTTCAACTGTTGTCTTGAGATTTAGCCTCAGGGAAATATAGAAGCAGTTGGATGGTAGAGTGAAGTTTGAGAGCAAAATGGTGCTCTTGTACTATTGCTAATTCAAGCTAAGAAATCCCACAGCATAAGCATGAAGCTGTAGCTTTGTTCTGTACTTCAGCCAAGTCCTTCAAATCTTGTGTTGTACCACATCACCTCCTTGAATGGCAAGCCAGATTGGTGGCTGGGCCTGAGGAGACTCAGTTGCAGTAAATGGTAGAAACAATCTGATAAATACGCATATACAGAACTTCTGGCGATGAAAGCTAAGGGACTGTTTTCATGAACCAATGAAAACAGAAGCACACTGAAAATATACCACAAAGATAGTAATTTTTTAAAAGCAAAATCTATGTCACCAAAGGTATATACAAACATAGCAAATAAAAAATAAATTAGTACAACCTATTAGGGCAACACAGATAAAACAATAGTCATTTTCCCCCCAAAGAATGAAGACCAGAGAGACAGGATGTATTTTTTTAAAAAATCACAGAATAGTGCTGGAGAGGCATAAACTTCATATGTATAAATGCATTGTGGATAATGGGAATTCCAGCATATTCATTCCACCCAGCACTTGCAAAAGCAACAGTGGGAATACTGAGTCTCAATACTTCAGTCCAAGTACTGGAGAAATATGTTTCTTTGCAATGTAGACAGCAGCAATATTTAAATTTGAATATTTAAACCTTCATAATATTTAGATCAGTGTTTCTCAACTTTGGCCACTTGAAGATGTGTGGATTTCAACTCCCAGAATTCTCTAGCCAGCATGGCTGGCTAGGGAATTCTGGGAGTTGGTCTACACATCTTCAAGTGCCTAAGGTTGAGAAACACTGATTTAGATGAATATCATGTAAATATTACACCACAAGTCCACTTTCTTTGCATATCAGTGCCTACACATGTACTGGAGAAAGGCTGACTGATGTGATCTCCTTCAGAAGGCTCACAGGGGCAGGATGAGGTTAAAGGCAGAAGTAGAACATCAGGAAATGAACAGCATAGATACATTTTAAAACATGGGTGTCAGTGAAGGCAAACGTGTTTGCAAAAAGCTCTGGAAGAGAGGGCAACAGTTTGATGAGTAGTAAAATGCTCTCCCTGAAGATATCTGCCCATTCCACCAGGTCAGGTAGGGTGGGCACAGTCCAGGACCCTTCCCTTAAATGTTGCCATCTAGCACCTTCTTAGCAGCTGCCCACCCCCTTCCCCCAGAGATCCAGCAGCCCCCACCCTCCCAGCCTTCTGGAAGGCCTTGAAGAGCTGGTTCTTCCCATAAGCATTGGGGTAGGACAAGGCTGGAATCCAGTGAAGTTTTTTGTTGATGTGTGGGGGTAGTCTTTTGGGGGCCGCAGAGTTTTTCTCATGGGTTTGTGTTTTTTACTCTTTTTACTGCTGTTTGTAAGCTGCCCAGAGTTATGGTGCGTAAAATAGGCAGCCATATAAGTATTTTATACCTATCCTCTGCAAGGCATAGAAGAAACAGTGCAAAAGGCCCAGAGAAAAATGCCAAAGGAAGCATGTTTACTGCCCTGGCCCCACTAATTCAATGAATGACTTCCATTTGTGTCAGTTAAAGAAAAAAAATATAGCAAAAACTGGAATGAGTGAACCACCAGTTTATCTTTGTCCTTGTAAGCGGAACCAAAACTAAGATTTTTTTTTTTAATAATGAGAATCTACATGAATTAAATATTTAATTCCATGCTACAATTATTGTAGGCAGTCAAGAATCCACGACTTACATTGCTCCGAGGTTTGAATGCAGTCTGAATAGCTGTTTCAAAAATTGGTGCTTTAATGTAATGTAAGGGGGAAATCATTAATAAGAGGGAAATTAATTAATATATGAATTAATTCATGTACATTTAATCATATTAATAGCAGATAATCCTGTTAATAGCATTATCATACTTTCATTATTTAATTACTTTAGTAATATTCACAGAAATTATATTAAGAGTATGTAATTTTTTTAATTTAATTTGATGAAATCTAGATTTTGACCTGATGACCAATTTTGGGAGGCAGGATATCAATACAGATAATCAAAGGGCAAATGATTGGCTCTTAGCCAGAAAAAGGTCGTATATCCATAGTATACATAATATAAAAAGATTTCACAGATTCCCAGGAAAAGCCTAATGTTGTTAGAATTAGCGAGCAGATATACAGAATAAGGCTGATTAGAATCTCACCTGCTCCTGATGAAATCTAGTTTGATAAGTATTCTTAACAAACAGAGAGATTGATTCCTAATTAAAAATGGGGTTGGAAATAGTGTGAATTCTGGTGTTCCCACTACCAGAAAAAATTAGGGAGCAGAATTCTCAAAAAAGAATATCCTATTAAATAAGGTGTGCTATGGTTGTTTTAAAAAATCTAAAAAGAACAGTTGTTTTCTGTTAAAATGCCCTTTGAGAGGTATTTTCTTCTGCCATGCTGAGGCTAAAAATGTTATGGAAGACAAATAATCCTTATTTCTTGAATACCACCCTGCATTTTAGAAAAACCAGGTAGGGAGTGGAGGGAACTGGCTATTTATTTATTTCAAATGTTTCTATACTGCCACAATTACATATCTTTAGACAGTTCACAGATTAAATCATAAAAATAATAAATGTGTTATGGATGTTACAGCAAATGCTTCTTATTACAAAGAATCCTAACACTGTTTAGGATGAACCTAATTTCTCTAAATAGTTCAAAATAAAAGTACAGTAAAAAGAACCCATTAAAAGATAAACAGAGGAAATTAATTAAAGAGGTCGTTTTCTAAAAGACTTCTAAAACATACAAGAATGGGTCTGGTTAGGTCATTTCATAGAACAGATGGAGAAATCCTGGCTCGGTGTTCCCACTCACTAGGATTCTGCCAGCCATTGCCTGGAGAATACCATGTCTTCCAGAAAGCATAGCTGGAAGGTTGATGTAATTGAAGATGTTCTTTTAAGTAACCAGACCCCAAGTTGTTTAGGCCTTTTTACATAAATATCCATACCTTGACTCTGTCTCCCTGGTAGATTAGCAATCACTGCAAATCTTTTAGCATAGGCGTTAACAGGTATAAGATGTGCATATATAGAATCTTGCAAATTCTGCGGTAGTTATAATTTTCAAATGAAGCCTAAGGACAGTCCCACACAGAATGCAGTGCAGTCATCCAGTCTTGAATTTACCAATGCATGAATCATTATGGTCAAGTTATCCCAGACCAAGAACAAGAATGACTGATTAGGCTGGTAGTAGGTGCTGTTAGCACAAAGATCACCACCAATGATAATGGATCAAGAAGCACCCCAAACTGAAAACCCTCTCCTTCATAGGAAGAATATCTCCATGTAATATAGAGCAGGCAATTCCAGAGTTCCTGCACCAAGTTCCTGAACCTACTCAGTTTCTAGATGCGCTTAATCCATTTTCTCAGGATGCAACTTTAGTTTATTGGTCCTCATACAATTCAGAACTAGCTTAGGTTGTTTGTGGCCTCCCATGACTCCAAGTTACAGAGTAATAAAGCTGGGTGTTGTCAGCATAATGGCGATACCCTACTTTATATCTCTGAACAACCATACCAAGCGGTTTCATACGTATGTTAAATAGCATCAGAGACAAGATAATCTCCAGTGTGGCTCTTGAGGTACCCAATAACTAGACTGCCAAGGGGCCAACCTCATATCATTCTCTGGAAGGCATTAACTGCTATGATTGGTGTACAGAAAAACATTCCAGAGGTATTCAGGAAGTATGTTCAGCTATAGTGTTTAGCCCCTACAAGGCTGTTGTGTATGCCAATTTGCCCCTAAATTTACTGTATATTACAGCACAGTGCTTTAAAGAAATTGAGTTTATGGAACCACTGAGAAATGCACTTGAATTAAGAATAAATTGTACTGAGATACATTCTTCTGTATTTGAACAGACTTAACTTTGAGATAGGAATAAATTCACCTCACGCTCCTCTCCCTTGTGATGTAATTTTCAAAAAAAGCATAATAAAATGCATGAATACTATAATAAGGGATCATGTTTTATTTCTCTCTTCTAAACCATTCTTAGCAAGTGTCACTTGGGAATGTGGTAGTTCTGGGTGCTCATCCCTCCATTCAGCATTTGGGGAAGGCAAAGAGACTGGTAGAAGAATAGGGAACAAGGCTGAAAAATTACATTATGGGTGTTTCCAAATTATCATGTTAATTTATCTTCATTTCTTCTACTAGTTCTTTTATTACTTTCATTTAATTATAAACTACCTGACTGGGCAAGCTGTGTAACAGCTTTATGTAGTTTGAAGAGTAAGGCGAGTATTATGTAGAACTTCTCCTGAAGGCTCTTGATATGTATATTTTAAGAAGTGCCAAGTATAAGAAGACACATAAGCAGGATTATAGCCATGCTCAGGTTTTCATTCCACGTAGTATAAATGTGTATCCCTTCCATCTATACATATTAGATCCCAATAGCTTATCATAAAGTATGGTCTAAACAACATCCAATATTGTAGACTGGGCCAAAAAGAGCCAGGATGACTACTCTTCGCATTATTTTTAAAATTCTTCTTTAGATGCCTGGTTATTATTAATTTTAAATCAGCCCTTGTTTACAAAAACTATGTTGAAACTAATGCATACAAAGGCAAAATAGTTACTACTCATTTTTTATCTAGGAAGGACAATTATATACCACAGAAAAATAACAAACATGCTTTTCGTTGATTAAAGAGTTAACACAAAGGCCACTGAAATCTGTTTTAGGTTTTGTGCTATGAACAGAAATGAAGAAAATAGGCTAAGGAAGTGGCATAATTCAGGACTATGGTTCACATGCAGCCTCCAAGTCACTGAATTTCAGGAGAAAACAACAGAAGAAAAACTGGTGTGTTGAGCAAATATCTGGGCTTCAGTGAAATAATTACATAATTGTCTTGAATACTTAGGCCTTTGCTCATCAAAACATGGGTGTTTGTGGGGGTGAGGGAATAAATGCCAACATAATTTAATATCTTAATGCTGATTGTAGTAGCATATAAATATATTATAATGCACTTCCTTTTAAACTTGTAAATCTTCATAATAGAAAAACAAATGCATCAGCTTTGTTGGTCTTGTTCAACTGATGTGGCAAAACTATTTAAAATTATTTCAGCTCTTAGCATTCTATTTTTATAGAGACCCACCACAGAATACTCTGAAGAAAATGTTGCTGATATTCGCAATGAAAACCCAGTGGCCAAGAATGCTGCAAATGAAATTGTAAAAGATTACAAAGAGAAAGAAGAAGAAGAAGAAGAAGAAGAAGAAGAAGAAGAAGAAGAAGAAGAAGAAGAAGAAGAAGAAGAAGAAGAAGAAGAAGAAGAAGAAGAAGAAG